CCCAGATCTTAATTCCATCCCTCCCTCATCTTGTTCAGAACCTAGTTTCATCACTTCTTTTGTTTCTCAGACCTTTTCTCTCCCCAGGCTTCTTTATCTCAACTTATAAACACACTACAACATCACCCAATCTCCCTATCTTCCTCACCGGCATTACCTTCTAGCTGTCACCCCTTTTTACCTTTTTTCCTTCCTTTCTGTTCAGGATCATCAAAAAAGCTGTTTAAACTCTGCTCTACTCCCCTTTCATTCACTCTCACACCTCTGCAATTTGCCTTTCATTGAAAAGTACTTTCCCTAATGCCCCAGTGGCTACTTTTAAAACAGATTATCAAAGGAACACTTATGGGTCCTTCTTTCACATTGAACCCTTTGTAACATTGAGCACTGCTGACCTTTCCTTCCTTAACATTCTCTCTTCCTTGGGTTTCTGGTATAACAATTTCTTCTTATCTTTAATAATCCCTGAACTTTGAATTTAAAACCTGGTTCCGTGACTCTCTCTGTAGCCTTGGGTGAGTTGTGTGAACTCCGGTGTTAGTTGTACTGAACAAATCAGCCTTTGACCTTTCCAGCTGTCAGTCTGGGTCCCAGTGGGCAACGGAAGCCATACTAAAGAGAATCTAATCAAGGGAGTATTACGAGGATGGTGATGCAACAGGAAACCATTACTAGAGCCAGGATGGAGCTAGAAACTTGATAAAGGAACTATGGTCACGGAAGAATTCAGTCACTGCCCAAAACACAGTAAACTGGTTTGGGAAGAGGTAAATGCCCTGACCATCTCCTACTCCTACTAACCTCCAGTCTTCTTCTGGTGCCTTTCATTGGTCAAACCTAGCTGGAAACCCAGAGCATAGAGGCTGGGTGATGTAAACTCTAGAGCTCAGCCTCCTGAGACACATAGCAAGGTAGAGAAGGGGAGAGGATGAATCCAGATGGAGAACCAACAGGGAACAGCCAGGGCATGAGCACACTCCCTACCACTCCCTTATTCACTTAAAGATATTTAATGTTCCAGCAACTATTCTAGGGAATACAGAGGATTGCAAGACAGAAAAGATGGCCACTATCATTGTGCTTTCATTCTCCTTGGGGAAGGCAGTAAGCAATAACCATACAAACTTCAGATCATAGATACAAATGAAGAAAAGGACTACCATGACTCTAACGTAGACTCTATCTCTGAGATGACAGAACTTAAATAAGAAGGAAGGAATAATAATCTTTCTAGACACTAGGGGATGAGTGTTTAAACAAGAGAGATTAGCAGGGGAAGAGTGCAAACATGCTGAAGTGGAAACCAGTTTGGCTTATCCCAGGGAGAGACAGGAAATCAGTGTGGCTGGAGGGAGGGTGGCAGGGGATGAGGCAGGAGTGGTTGGCAGAGGCTAGATCACAAAGGGCTTGGTAGACCAGGCAAGGAATTGGTGGGGGGAGGTTCACTAATGCAACAGAAAGGTTTTAGGCTGGAGGTGGGAGGTCAGAGTGTTTGTAAGTTAAGATATACCTACTTTCCATTCGTAAAATATGCTTCCACAATTCTGTGAAAAATAAGTTGTGGCAGGACAAGAATCTTGGTACAGTTTGCATTGCCCTGACTCGAGTTCCCACATTCAGGATTGCTGGGTGGTGTTTTGTGTAGGGGTGGCACTGTTTGGGTCAGGTCATGTGCCTGACACATGAGTAGCCCAACGATAGACTGGTTGGCAGCCCATGATGTGGTTTAGAGATAAGGGCTCTTGCAATTAGGCTGTGCTCCTCTGAAATGTGGATTAGAGGATAAGAAGATAATTAGTAGTCGGTACTATAAGGACAGATCAAAGAGGCAGAGAAAAATGGAGATCCAATGGGAAATAAATGAGAACAGCTTCTCTCTAGAGGTGACTTGGTTCCTAATAACTACTCATATATCCATGTAAACATTCCTGTTTTCATCCTTTCAGTTAAGGTGGTCACTGGGTCTCTCCTTCTTGCACGCACAACAGTCTAATGAGTGCACTAATGTCCTCAAGCTTCATTCATTCTTCTTCTTCACGTTAGTCAGAAGTGACAAAGATCTGCTCTGGTAACAAACCCCTGAAATCTCAGTTGCCTAAAACAACCAGTGTTTACTTCTCACTCACTTTAAATACCCATCATGAGGTGAATGGGACTCTTTTTGCATCATCCTCTCTCCAAGACCAAGACTTACAGAGTATATACTCTCTGGAACATTGTTGATTGCCACGGCAAAGGGAAAAAGAGTTCCGGAAGGTCTTGCATCAGCAATTAGATGCTAGGCTCACAATTCATGACAGAATGTGTCACGTGGCTCATCCCAGCTACAAGGAAGCCAGGAAATGCAATCCTACTTGTACCTGAAAGAGAACAGAAAATATTTGATACACTCACCACCATTCACTCGTCTATAACCACGGCTTTAATTGCTGCCTATAGACCAATGTTAACATTTCTAGGAGATGCCCCATTTTCACTCCTTATCCATATTTTCAACTACCTACTGGAATGCCACAATTGGATTATATCATAGACATTTCAAATATCAAGTACCAGGACTGTACCCTTTATCTTTCCCAGAAACTTTGTGTTCTTTCTCTTGGTTAATGGACCCATTATCAAGCCACTATATCAAATAAGAAACCCTGATGTTATCTTTGACTCCTCCCTCTCTTCCAACATCCAAGATGTTTTCCTCTAGTTTATTCTCATCCTACTAACTCCATGACCATTAGTTCAGCCCTCCATGGGTTCTTGTCCAGAAAATTCTGTTAGCCTCCTGTCTGGTTTTTCCTGCCTTAATAGGTTTTCCTATAAACTGTGATCATTTCTTCATTCAACAAGTATTTATAGAGTGCTTGCTGATTTTTAGTGCTCAGGTAAGTAATGGGCCCACCTCGAAATTCAGTCTAAAGACAAAGACAGTGATGCAAATAAAAGTTTCAACACAGTGGACAAATGTGATGATAATTATGTAGCAAATAGTGTAGAAATGGAAAGCAAACATCAAGTTGAGTGTGGTGGTGATAGGAAGGTAGTTCTGGAAGCTTTTAGAGCAGAAGAAAAACTTCAGCTAACTGCTCTACCATGTGAACCACAGCAGTTGGAAAACGTGAAGGAAGCAGTGAAGGAAGTAGCATGTGTCTGATATCACTGAGGTACTTTTCCTGATTCAGCAAAATCAACGTGGATTGAGAACGACATGAAGGAGCAAACAGGAACCTGATCAATAAGGACCCAAAGCGTTCTGGTCAGTTATCGAGCAGGCAAGTGGTGGAAAGTCATTCATCGAGATAAGAAACTCTAAAGGAAGAGCAGGTCTGTGGGTCTTTTAATTATGGATACTTCACATAGTTGAACACTGATTCCAGGCATAGTGCCAAGCATCTTACTTCATTACAGCTGACCCTGGAAAAATGTGGGGATCTGACCCCTACACAGTCAAAAATCCCTGTGTAAATTCTGACTTCCCCCCCAAATTAACTCCTAATAGCCTACTGTTGACTGCAACCTTAGCAATAATTAGTTGGTTAACACACATTTTGTATATGTATTATATATGTGTACATATATATATATTTTTATAATAAAGCTAGAAAAAAAGATGTTATTATGAAAATCATAAGGAAAATACATTTACAGTACTCTACTGTGTTTACTGAAAAAAATCTGAGTATAAGTGGACCCATGCAGTTCAGACCCGTGTTGTTCAAGGGTCAGTTGTATTTTATTTAATCCTCACAACAATTTTACATAGTAAAGTTGTATTATGATGTTCATTTTACAATTTAAAAGCAAACACTGGGATTCAGAGGTTAATGACTTGACTACACACACACTTAGTAAATCTATCTGTTTTGCATTGGAGCCCAAGTTGCTGTCTGTCTGCGAAGCCATGATGAACTCCACCTGAATGTGTCCACAGACTGGGGCACAAGGGAAGGACGGGCTTGGTGGTCATCAACACATGGGAAACACGGTGGGGTCAAAGTTATGGGCATGAATGAGAGGGCTCAACCAACTCTAAAAAGGGAGAAGGAAAGAAGGAAAGAGGACCTGGGGAACATTAAAGTTAAAGGGCGGAAACCAGCAAAAAAAAAAAAAAGTTT